AGGTCTATATGCTGCCCTACCCGATGGAGGAACGGATACGGATGGGATTGATGGGTCAAATCCAGCTTTCTGCTGGTGACGATCCCGAGAAGGAGGTGGAGCGGTTATTACGTGAAGCTGACGGTCTTGGGGCCGCAGGACCCCCAGCACCGGTGGAACCCGCGGAAAGCACAAAGCAGGCGGGCGAGGCTGCGAAGGCTGCAGTTCAAGCCGGATCATCAGCCGCTGGAATGCCGCGGGCGCATGCTCCCGCACCAGCACCGAAACCAAAGCCCAAGGCAATGCTGGACCTTGATCTCTACGACCCCGACGAAGATGACGATTAAGTGTTTTAAAGCGGGCGTTGCATTCGATTTTCATAATGATACCAGCTACAATAGCACAGAAAGCCATTCAATGCTTTTTTTTTTTTCAAGTGTGTCTAATATTGCATAAATCCGGGCCTTTAATCCAGCTATTACATCTTATGAGTCGAAGACCCGGCCTTCTATCCCCGGAACATCTTATTTTATAAGTAGGTAATAGCGCAGAAACATCACAACGCTACTGATGACATATTTGACATGCTTAGCAGAAACTGCTGAAGCTATAGCCCCGCGTGTTCTTACTAACGGCGATAGACACGAAAATCGAGCCAGCTATGGACAAGTGGCTGTCAACCACATATATGCTGGTGATAGCCGGAAAGGCTATAGCCTGTGTGCCTTCTACAGTGTATACAATGAAGACGATGATCCATGCATGGACCGATTGGTTGAACACCCGGCCGAGCGAGGAATGACCATTTATTTCCCAGTCCCACTTATACTGGTATCTAAATGCAATAATAAAATTTCGGGATGATGACATATGAATTCATTGTTAGCAGACGGATTTCAGGTTCTCAAGTGCCACAGCTCTTCCGAGTGGCCTCTGTAGAGATCTAACCCGAAAGTGGACTATTGGTAGCTAATCTAATAAAACTCCCGACTAGAACGGCGTGGTTTAAAGAGCTAATCGTTTACCTATTGAGGTTATATATAAATATTTGTACTTGGCTCTAAGTGGGATTAAGAGTAAGGAAATAACTAGTGGACTATAATATAAGAACAAGGAAGAATAGCAGTTTTGGTATTGGTGCCGTACGATCGCCAACATCAACGATTGCCCTAACAGTGTGCTCTTGTGCAAATAAGGATTGTGCTCGCCATTTTCCCGCATTCTCGTTTTCTTGTGGTGACTTTGACTGGCTTATATTTTCCATGTATAAACAAGGATACGATAACCTTTGAATACACTTTAGTTGTTATTTATATGAAAGGGGGTTTTTTTTTAAAAAAAAAATGCCGCTTCTCAGACAAGTTCACTGATCAACGTTTCCTAAAAAAAAGCAATTAAAAAAAGAAAGTTTGCCTCCTGTCGGGATTGATCCGACGACCTTACCATTTTGTAAGTTCATATACATACGAGTGGTACGCTCTACCACTGAGCTAAAGAGGCTACTTGGGTATTTGTTGGTGACGTTGGGATGTCATTACTATGTTGAATATATGTATGTTTAGTTTCTCACGTTTTCAAAAATAAACATATAACATCAAATGTCCTGCTCACCTACTACGTTATTGTTTTAATTTAGTTATCACTCGGTGGCTATTGATATGATTTTTAAATACCACGTCCATGGATATCAATTCTAGGGAGATAAAAAATCAGCGTTATCATGAGATTGAAAATAAAGTTGTTATATACTACCTATAGGCTAAAAATAGATATATATCGCAATCATGAAGCCATAGATATTTCCTACTCCTCCCAGAGAGGCTGGATAGGAATCCTCGTACAACCGAGCGCTATTAAAATGCTAAGTTGTAATTCATCGTATTCACTATATGTTCCGAGTGGCCATACAGTAGCCTGAGAGATTTCCAGGGGGAGGGGGGGGGGGGGGATGGTCTGATTCAAAGAGGAAGACAATGTTTGTAACTATCAATTCGCTAAAGTTAATAAAATGACAGACGCTCGCTAAATGCCAAACGAGGGCGCATGGTATCCAGATCACCCTGCCATGTGGCAGTGTTAGATAGACTTCTCGGCCTTGGGGTATTTGACGGGGAAAGAAAGTCCAGCTTTTGTGTATTTTTGGGCGATGCTTTCTGACTTTATGTAGGCAGATAATTGCCAGATTCCCAATAGGACGCTCGCATGGCTTAGTGGTAAAGCGCATGACTAGTAATCATGAGATCCTCGGTTCGACTCCGAGTGTGAGCATTTTTTGCTTTTTCTTACCAACATAAGAATAAACATGGCGGCTTGGTGAAGTCTTTTTAGTACATATGTAGTTTTTTTAACTCAGATATTGCCTTTCGTTAGTTAGGGTTACAACTAGAGCATACTACAAAGTATAGGCGGTAAAACCTTACAATGTACGGGATAATCTTTCCCATGTATAAAAAACAGGAAAGTTGGCTGCGTATGCGTTTTTTTGGATGTTTGTTTTAATTTATTACCATGACAGATAGGTGGATAATTTAAGTCCAGTAGAAAAAAAAGACGCCTTCAAGTCTTGGATACTGGGCATTTTAAATTATGTAAAGAGTTACATAGTCATGTAGGCAAAAAATGCTCACACTCGGAGTCGAACCGAGGATCTCATGATTACTAGTCATGCGCTTTACCACTAAGCCATGCGAGCTGATTGGTGGATAGTTTGCACATCTTTGTCTATATAAGGCTAATATAAGGCTAGTTGCTTTCTCTAGTCATGCTATCCCCTGCGTTCATCGTATTCCATATCTCATGCCATCTTTTAGGTAGATCGTCGGTTACCATTTCTCGTATTTGGCCAACGAGAATTGTGGGAGTTATTAAGGTGTCGAAAGGTGGCTGGCCTACGAAAAATTTAAAGAGCTGCCGACAAATTAGTCTTTGGTTTTTATACGGATTACCAGAGGATGATTTCACAGACCACACAGCCTATGCTCCACAAATCAACATTATAATCAACGCGATCTTGGAATATAACTTCTGGTGCTCGAAGAGATGAAGATATATGTAGTGTTTCAGGAACAGCAGTGTGTTAAATAGCTCTCCGAAGTCGATTGATTTGACAGTCTGAGCCGGATTCCAAAAATGCGTCCGATATAAGGTAGGCTTCACAATATATTGGGGCATTCTAGTTTCTAGGCATTTCCCATCGTGTCTTTAGACGTAGCCAATTTCTAGGCTTCCTAATATCTTAGTAAACCTTCCCTCTATCAAATCGTCTATGTAAGGCATTGTGAAGGCTAAATTGCGAGTATACAAATCTATATCAAGTGAGCACCATAGCAAAGTATTTTCAAGAAAGTGATTTACCTCTATATCCATTTTTTCGTTGGTGCAAACTATTGGGCCCGATCAAACATTACTTTGCAATGACTTTGGCGAGACTTCCAGGAAGTCTCCTATCTGCGAAGCGTACATCAATTGTGTCTAGAACGTTGGGCCCGAGAAGCGCGGAAGGAGCGTGCAGACTCACACCAATTGGTCCACCAATCGGACACATTCTGGGAATACCTCAAATTTGTTTCAAGGCCACGTCAGAAAAGGTGCGACGGCGCGGTGATTTGCAGTTGGATTGATCCTCCACCGACGTAGTCGCCGGTCAAGATTGTGAGCCAGGCGCTAAAAAGCACTGGTCATGTGTTCCTCAGTCGCTGATACGAGGCGGTCACTTCCATAGCTTGGAGCCTCTGTGATTCATGTCGCAGATATGCCTTCTTCCAGCCAATGATAGCATCTCTTAAAAGCTGCAGAGGCGTGTGCCATGTAGAGTTGATCCCGTTGTACAGCACTCGAGCCCCATTTGAACGTATTTCATGATGAAGTTGCATAGGTCAAGCGAGGAACCCTACCTACAAAGAAGTGAGTATGTGAATATCAGCAAAGCTCGCATTGTGGCTTGCCTAGGTTCCAATTTCGAAATATAAAAGGCGGCTTATTTCTCAGGACTTACCACTTTAACGACTTCACCAGTGTATTTCGAATCTTCACTCTGATACTCAGATTTATCTATCGCTCCCACGTTGGATGATCTGAAGCAGTCATCCATCTTGTATGTTTTACCGCCCTTTGAAACACTTTACTTCTACCAATAACTACTTTAGATACAATCAGCAATAGAGACCTAAATGTTACGCACTGCAAACTGGTCACAGTTAGGTTAGAATGGTTCTGGGTTGCCTTGTGCTTCTCAGGTTTCCAACACCAACGATCTGTTCTCTCAACCGTACTATTGCCTAACAGGCCATACTGCAGTATATTGTGAGTCCTTTTTAGGTATCGAGGAACAATGCTAGGTAGAGCGCCGAGTAGATCAATACCTCTTGATCGTGAGTGTTGTCAAGTTATATATAATCAAGTAAAGAATCTCCTAGTAGTCTAAAAAGTAAACACAAGTATCAATACAGGACAGAAGACGAAGAACAAAACTAGGAGGATGAATGAGTGTCCTTATATATCCCTGATTTTCTCCTGTATAGATAAGTAGATAGTAGTTAAGTAGATCGAGTCTATTCATCGACTATCGACGCTTCTACCAACTGCATGATCATGTGTTCCTATAGTTCCCAAGGTTAACTTCTAGTGCGTCTGATATCCGGTACAGTGAACAACAGACGTATGTACAGGAGCTCGAAATACATAGAGAGGGAAATATTAGGGAAAGATGAACGTAAAACTCGAGTCACCAGCAAGATATTCACCTCAACTAACGAGCGGAGGTCAACACGACGAAGAGCTCAACGTAGCATCTAGCAACAACTTTAGCAATGCATGTCATTTAGTTGTGCCTCCAGCCTGTCTCCAATGTAAATGTATTTTCATGATTTAATTTTTTTTCTTAGATATCTTCTCTTCTCGATATGTATACATAGTAGAAAAGGGCGAAAAAGGAGAAAAGTTATAACCTTGAGACTACCTTATATAGGCAAAGATGTGCGAAGCTCCCACCAATCAGCTCGCATGGCTTAGTGGTAAAGCGCATGACTAGTAATCATGAGATCCTCGGTTCGACTCCGAGTGTGAGCATTTTTTTGCCTTATTTCCACTATATTTCCAGGAATGCGTTATACAGCCAGTGGACAGAGTTTTTACATCATTTGGCCCACACCCTAGTGATTATTAGTACAGGTGGTGGGTCACCCATTTTAGGTAGGCGGTATAGATATATAGTGCGGTGATGGGTGGGGCTACAGGGGTGTAAAAACTTCAATGTTATGCCAGTCACTGTATATATTACCTATATTACCAAAGTTTAACATTCCAATACGTCGCTCGCATGGCCAAATAATGACAGTTATCATGAGGCCTTGGTTATGCTTCTTTTTGGCTTGTTCATGCGAATAGCCTTGTATAGACAGAAAAGTGCCGCACTTTCAGTAACACGCTCGCATGGCTTAGTGGTAAAGCGCATGACTAGTAATCATGAGATCCTCGGTTCGACTCCGAGTGTGAGCATTTTTTTGCTTCTATCTGACTTGTTCTGACGCCACTTTATTGAAGGGATGGATATTTAGGATGAAGTGCAAGAAAGCTTCACCCGCTTAGAGTTTTGCTTGCATATCAGACGAACGTTCCAAGGTTACCGTCACCCAGAACAAAACCAGCCCGCATATATATAGAACCTATGACTATGACCCGCCCTTTTATAAACTTTCTCCTCTACTTTTCCCATTTACGCTTCATTCTCGGACACCTATTCTTGCTACATATATAGAAGCTTCATATCCTTATCACCAAGTGCAAAGCTAACAGGAATGTTGGTCTTCTTGATATTGTGGATCTCGAGGATACTGGAATGGTCAATGAACCTAGCACTAAGAAGAGGATTTCAGTTTAAGCGGTCTCGCCCCTAAAGCCCAGATTTACGATATGTTTTCCTCCCCAGCCGAACCCAGCTGCGTAGATGATGGAAAACAGCGAGGCTATTAATTGACCCAAGAAGCTTCGAGGCGTAAATCATAGTCACATAGGGCTTGAAATAATGACAGAATTTGCCCTAATCGGCCCCAGCGGATGCCGTCTAAGACAGTCAGCCCCTGAGGCCATGATGTACATAAATTCATTTAATTCTGTGGATACAACTAGTATTTACGGTGTGTTGAATTCTTAGGCTGTGATTAAATTTGCGCTCTTAGCTCGCTGTCCATATGGGGAATCAAGCGACTATCCACCGAGCGAATCATAAATATGTAATGTAGGGAGGGATATCTAGCTCGTCTTGCGGAATGTTGTGGAATCTGATCCGTTCACATAATACAATGCCCTGACCAACGAAAAGATAGAACAGAGTATCTGTTTTGAGGATGTGGAGATAGATTCCTGTACCTTCATCTCTTTCAGGGCTACCTCCAATATCGATCAATCTAGGCTAGGTCGGTTTCTGGTAGACCTAATGGTGCCAGAGTTAATGAACATACCCAGCTAGTCTGATTGAGGCTTTTTTTTTGAAAGCTTCCTTTGAGGTCGGGGTCAGAGAATTATAGAGAGTCTCCCTATCCCTTGAGTGGACTCTATAAACTCTCCGTAGCGGTCTCTTTGAGTATTGTCAAGCCTTATCTACCTAAGAAGGCGTGTAGCAATAAGCCGTAGGGGCGGGTTATTCAGGCAGGGGTTTGGGGCTCGAGGGGGAAACTGGAAGGCCAGGCCTGGGTAGAGCTTATCGGCAAGGAGATAGGGAATTCGGACACCTTGAAGCAGGCAGATTTCTTCAATCATGGCCTTGGTGTATCTACCAAGCTCACTATATGGATTGTCTTGGCATCATTCCACTCCGTGCTATCCGAGTCGAGCTCTCTGGACGCAACCTCTCGAATGCTACATGTGTAGGGATATGTGCGGCATATGACCTTCAAGCCCTCCGGAAACAGAGTCGCTTAAGTTAGGTTGTTTGGGTCGTTGCCGGCTTTAGCGATAGCTAGGATTTTATAGCAGCCCGGGCAGACTGAGAAAGCTAGTGCATATCCTCAGACTAGTGCCAGGAGGCACAAACAAGACAAATCCTATGGGACCTCAAATGGTAGGCTTGTTCTGAGTTTCCTCTATGCCAGTGTTAGAAGATCGAATATCGTGTATACGCGCCTTTATGGCTAAGCGTGGATGATCGGTTACATACTAAATATGAAGAGGGGGAAAAAGAAAAGCAGGTATCGATGATAACTATCTGAAGAAGAAGAAAGTTAAAAGGTAGATAAAGTCCTACGCAAAAGAACAAGTAGAGAGAGGTTACCTAACCCGAGAGGAATCTTCGCATTACAGGCACAAGTATGATATAAGAGAACTTCATGTGATACCCAAAGACCGTAATATCCAAATGTCACGATTAAAATTTCTTAATTATTCAAATCTAGCAGATTTTCCCCAGTCTGATTTTTCCTCCCATTTCGAGGAATCCACTATAAGCACCCTGTCCAAACCTCGTTCTTTGCCTCGCCTAGTACGTGTCTTGCCCAGCGAAAGAGCAATCGATTACGTGGCCCTCGCTTTTCCCTTTATATAGGCCTAACGTGGGAAAGCCTCCACCAATCAGCTCGCATGGCTTAGTGGTAAAGCGCATGACTAGTAATCATGAGATCCTCGGTTCGACTCCGAGTGTGAGCATTTTTTGCCTCGTTGTTATTTCTGTAGTTTTCTAGGAAAATAACATTATGTACAGTACTCAAAGCTGAAAAGTAAATCTATTGCTCGCATGGCTTAGTGGTAAAGCGCATGACTTGTACATTCCCCTAGGGAAATGTGATCATGAGATCCCTGGTTCGATCCCGGGTGTGAGCTTCTTTTTTTGCTAGTTCGGCCGAGCAGCCTTATATATCCAGTTCACTTAATCGGTGACTCCGAGTGTTTCTTTTTGCGTGGGAAAGATACAGGGCTTTTTATTACTAGAATAGAAACCTTCATGTTTAGTTTGGAGATTCGCTAGTCTAACATTTTATGTTGTAATCCCCAACAGCCTTATTAAACATATTCATACTGATTGCTTTTATGCAGATTTCATGATTACATAGTTACACATACACACGCGGTCCTTCTCGCCCCTACAATGGCAAATGCTTACATACTTACTTGCCCCTTAAGCTTGATTTGGTACACAGTCACATTTAGAGAGTCGAAAGCCATTATCGGAGCGTTGGTTAGTCTTACCCTCATCGTGTGGTTAGGGCGGGGCTCCCTGTCATTTAAGATAGTAGGAAAATTAGATCTCTGCAGGAGCGTAACTTGGGCGGGAAATCAAGGCGAGCAACTACCGATGGCAAATAAATCTCTGTGTCCATAAGCGTTGGCGTATCTGTCGCATTTCGAGGTCAACCAGTAACGGGGCTCTAGTCAAAGTGATATACATAGTCTTCATCTACACTCTGCAGGGCTCAGAATTCCCCGGATTACCCGCAGAATGCGCTTTAACCTTTTTATTTTTTTCTATTCTCATACTCTCGAGGTCTTTGTCTTGATGGCTTATTCTTTGATACCACTCGGCAAATTCTCTGCGGGATTATGCCGCGTTTGGGACCCCCCTTGGTGCTATTCCGCATCAAGAGACTAGACTGCGTTGTGACAAGAGTGGCAGACATACATCTTGGTAATCCTGGATGTTGATTGCCCGAGCTAAACTCCTGGTCATATCAGCGGAATCTATTTCAATCAAAATTTAAACCAAGCGAAGGTTAAAAGAGAAAAGCGGAACCCTCTTAGATATGGATGTGCATATGTAGCGATGAGGCGAAGCTGGGCCAACAATAGTGGAAGATTGCTTATATTACTAGCGAAACCATGGGAGTAGTCGGCTATATAACCTCCATAATTGACGATTTAAGACTTGAAATAATTAGCTGCAAAACTGTAGTACTGGTAGCAACTACATATATAGTAGTGTTTTGAGACCGGATGTGGGGCTGCCTGAGGCTATCATGTTTACCAGGACTTTGCTCCATAGACCTTTCTTCCTTCTATCATGATCTTTATCCCGACTTCGCCATCAAACTTGCCCTCTTGTTGCTCTTATTAGGAATATGTAGTACCACGCGGGAGGATGTTCCGGACCAATTCACCTATCATCTCCTCTTCAAAAGGTTCAGGAAGTTGGACCCTAAAATTTCTGCGTTGTCGGATTATAATTGCGGCCTGTCAGCTGGGGTCTTATCCTCAATCCCCCAGAGTGTGGAGGGAGGAATTTCGATGAGCCCAATGATGATCGATAGAGTCATGATCCCCGGATGTCACCTCCACACCACGAAACACGCGAAGAAGCTTGGTAAAGCTTGGTCGAGCCGGACTGTGCTGGTCACCCAGACCAATCGGAAAAACCGAAGATTTACATACGCAGTCGATGTAATGGACTCTTGGCACTTCTCTGGAGAAGAGAAAAAAGCATTTAATTAGGCTCCGGGGCTCCGGTTTATGCCTGATATCCAGAATGGCGGCTCTTGTTATTTTGGGTGCTATTCTGCTGAGAGCTCTTGAATTATTTTTGTCGGGTACTTCATTACAATGAGTCACCACGAATACCCTTTCTCCAATCTAGATCAAGCAGACGGAGACGTGGAGAAGCAAGATGATAGCGACGGTGGAATCCGTTCTCCTGGGGGTACTCCTCGACCCAGCCGCCCAAAGAAAGAAGGTGCAGATGGAGCTGTCAATGAACATGATAGAGAAGAGTTGAAGGAATGGGAGTGCTACGACAAGCTAGGATACTCCTATCCCTGGTGGAAGAAATGGGGTATCCTCTCCGTCATATTTGCTGTCCAAACATCCATGAATTTCAATGCTAGTTTCTATGCCAGCAGCATCACCCTGTACGCGACGCACTTCAGCATCTCAGAGCAAGCCGCACGTGTTGGCCAGATGGGGTTTCTAGTTGCTTATGCATTTGGCTGCGAGTTTTGGGCGCCCTTCAGCGAAGAGTTTGGTCGATGGCCAACAATGCAGCTCAGCTTGTTATTCGTCAATATCTGGCAGATCCCCTGCGCCCTGGCTCCCAACTTTGGCACCGTTGTTATCTGCCGCATTCTCGGGGGTCTATCATCCGCCGGTGGTTCTGTAACACTCGGCATGGTAGCAGACATGTGGGAGCCAGAGGGCCAACAATATGCTGTGGCTTTCATTGTTCTATCTTCTGTGGCAGGCTCGGTGATTGCCCCAGTCGTTGGGGGCTTTGTGGCAACCTTCCTGGACTGGCATTGGAATTTCTGGATTCAGCTTATCCTTGGAGGCTTTGTGCAAATATTGCACTTCTTCATTCCAGAGACCAGATGCAGCATCCTTATCACGAGAGAGGCCAGGCGAAGACGGAAAAGCGGAAATATGGTGTGGAGTGGTGATGAGCTGAAGAAAACTCGTATGTCCTTCCGCTGGGTGTTCATGGTTTGGATACGTCCGTTTGTCATGTTCGTGCGCGAGCCTATCGTCTTGTGTCTCTCTCTGCTCAGCGGCTTCAGCGATTCTCTCATCTTCACTTTCCTTCAATCGTATACACCGGTATACAAGCAATGGCACTTCACTATGATTACAACTGGACTTTCATTCCTCCCGTGAGTATGCACGATCTTGAATATAGGGTGGTTCTGATTATTTGATCTTACAGGCTTCTGGTGGGCTATTTCATTGCCTATTTTTCATTTATTCCATGGATTCATAAACATTGCAGAATTAGAGCGAAAGACCCAGATGCTCTCCAGCCAGAAGCTCGGCTTTATTGGTTACTATGGAGTAAGTATTCTCAAAGTTGTTCCCTTAGTCTTATTATTGACTCGCAACAGTGGCTCCTCTGCTGACAATTGGCCTATTTGGATTCGCGTGGACTAGCCTTGGTCCACCTAATGTCCATTGGATTGCGCCTATGATCTTCTCTGCCTTGATTGCCATTGCCAATGTAAGTGAAAAGTGAAGGAGATCCATATTCCTCGATACAGGACTGAGAAGGTATTCTATGATCAAGTACGCCATTTATATGGCCACAATTGACTACATGATTGCCGCGTATGGTCCATATGCGGCCTCGGCCACAGGAGGAAACGGATTCGCCCGTGATTTCCTGGCCGGTATTGCAGCAATGTATTCAGTGCCCAGTAAGTCACCACAATCCTACAACAGCATACGCTCTGACCGAAAAACGCAGTGTACACACACATGGGTACAACACACCACCTTGAATGGCCTTCCACCTTATTGGGATTCATGGCAATCCTCTTCACCATCCCAATATACATATTCTATTGGAAAGGTCCTAGGATTCGGGAATTGTCACCATTTGCGCAGACCTTGGCTTCCGACAGAAAGAAGGCTGGCCGGAGGGTTTCTTCCTGTGGTTCCGGTGACCCAGACCCCGTTGAAAGGTATCTGTCTGGACGTTCCTCGGAGGAGACCAGAACTAGATCCGGTTAAACCATATCAGAACGGTGGACATAAAGGGTATGCATTCATTGACACAGGATGTAAGAATCGGTTGAATTGAAAAGCTTTTGTTTTTATAGAGACATTCTTCGTGCTGATCTCTGTTTCTGTTTGGCCTTGATCACTACTAGACTAGAAAACTGAGTTTAATTTTTTGTTTTGATATAACGTTACAATGGACTTGTTTTCAAGTAATTTGGAGAGTGTTCGCTATTATACCTTAGGTATGCGTGATGGAAGAATGCCATCATCCCATCAAACCGTAGTCATGTCATAGCCAATAACTATATCGGAAATAATCCCCGATGAACCACGAGTGACGATATTCTTAGTATCTGATAAATGTACTTTGCTCGCGAGAGTGTTTGAAATTAGGTATACAGTATATATAAATTTAGACACAGTATAGTTCATGGTCCTTACCGATGTAGAAACAGAAATCAAGTAAAATCATTGATTCCAGGAATCCTGGAGTTTCCGAACGGCATATTCAGTAGTCCAACCCAAATCAGCCTCAACGCCCCGTAGCAGATCAACAATAATCTGGTGTTCCTCGGTATTTTCAAGACACTGTCCGACAGCGACAAGAAGCGGGACCATGAATATGCGAACCCCACCCTGGGGGCGGCCCAGTGCAATGCCGCTGACTTCACGGGAACGGAACTCGACCTCTTTCGTAACCTCCCGGTACCCTTGTAAGCGGTCAAAGGCTGTAGACGGTGCGCTGATCACATCTGCCGGCCGATTGAGCAATAATGCGATGCGCCCGAAATGGTAATGTTGCATGGCAGCAGCACAGGTCGTTAAACTGTGAAAGATTTCAGGGAATGGCAAGTAACTGCCTTCGGAAGTCTTTGATATGTCCTTGGGGCGTTCGATCCGCACAGAAGAACGGAACGTTTCGGGCACATTTTCAAACCATGTTTGAAACTCGAAAGATAGCTTGAGCCAGGTATCTGTGTCCGGATATGGCAACTGAGCGGCATTTGGTGTTGTGCCCTGAATCTCGGGTGAAGCTCCGGGCGGAGATCCTGTCCACTGCGCGAGCTGTAATTGTTTAGACCTGGCGAGAAAATTGATGACTTTCGTGACAAGCCAGATCAAGCCATTAGCAGCCTGATCTTCCTGTGATAGAGTTGACCCATTCCGGATAAGATTAAAGTCTTTCTGATCATTAATTGAAATTCCTGCTGCCCGCCAGAGGGGGAGGTTCTCTGGGTCGAAGTGTGTAGGTGATCGGGTGAAGTAAGAACCGAGATAGTCTTGGCGGGCGAAATTCCAGAAGGCAGCTTGAATGCCATGAGAAAATAG